TCCCATTCTGCTTGTTTCCTGTGTTCTACCAGGTTATTGGCCTTGAGAAGTTCTGCAAGCGGTGCTATAACTTCTCCCCATAATGCCATTGTAACCTAGGTTCTTGATGTACTCTTCTTTAAAGTTTCTCTGACCTGATTGCTCAGTTTTCTTTTCCCTTTTGTCAGTGGCAGTTTCATAACTAAGCTGCTTATTGCCACCAGGAGGCCAGATGGAGTGTGGACACAGGACTATAGGGACAGAATGAATGCTTGCTGCACTGCAAGGGCTGCTGTGATGGATATGGCTGCTGCAGTAGGTTCTACAGATATTATTTTAGAGGAGCAATTGCCCATCATATATGGGTCCTTTAAAACTCAAGGACTGCCAGCACCTGTAATTTATAGTCATACTCAAACATTTTTTATGACCGCACCTAACTGTGAAGGAGGAGAAAGATAGTGAATTGATTCCTAAAAACATTTAAAAGACATGTAGTTAAAATGTCTATAGTAGACTGGCAAAAATAATGAAAAGCCTACCTTTTTATAGGCCTCTTGAGCTCAGTTCATGATTTTTTTTTTAACAAGTAGGCCTTCCTTTATTGAGACCTGCAAACACTAACTGCTGACTACTTCTTAATGTGCTTTTAAAATAATTTCAAGGGTATTCACAGATATCTGAGAACATCTTTTAGTTTCACAAGTCACTATGCATTTGAAATGCAGTGTAATGCCTGTGGAGAAAGTATATATGAAATGAGGCTGAAACTTTATAATTGTTTATTGAACAGTGACATTTTAGTGATAAGCAGCATTTGGTCCTTTGTGTATTTCTGCCACAGGAAAGAAGGGTAATTCCCAACTGTTGAATTTAAATTCTAAACCTATATAGAAATCCAGATGCTAGCAAATAAATAGAATTCCTGTTAGGTTTTTTAAAATTGTAAATCAGACTTACATGAGAGACGATTATATTTATTTCTTTGATTTCTCTGACAATAGCATAAAAAAATACCGTTCCCAAATTCTTGATTCATCTTAGTATAACTTTTCTTCCAATTCCTTGGATTATAATCTGTGGAAAGTCTGTCTCATCAGAGTACAAGAATTTTGTATTGTTTTCTTTTTCCTCTTGCCCCATCAGCTCTGACGTTAAGCCATTCTTTCAGTTATAGTCAAAGGGAGACACGCATGGATGATTTGCAGTTAACTGCTTGCCTCCAAGCACATAAGTGCCTCGACTTCACATTTAATCATGATCATGCCTTATGCCATACTCTTGCTCTTTTGTCTTGGCACCAACAGATGGTGGTATAAGACCCCTGGGGCAGTCTAAGGTTGTAGTAGTACATCTTCTGGTTAGAAAAGGAAGGATTTTACGATGGAAAATTGGGTTCAGTTCTTTTTGGCTTCTTGCTTAAAAAAATTAATGGAAATTTGGTGTGAGGTTTTCAGGTGGTACCTTAAAAACTTACTTTAATCCATGAAACAAAACAAAAGCAAAAAGGCAAATTATCCTATCTAATAATAGACAAACATGGTAATTGACTGTACCTTCGCTACACCTCCCATTGGTTAATCAGCGTGATATGCAAATTAACCGCCAACAAAGATGGCGTCTAATTTGCATACTGCAGCAAATCCCACTGTGCTGCCCCAACTGGGGCTGGCGGCAGCGTGATCCCCAGCCACTGGCCACCCCAGTGCGGGATCTGGGCCTGTGGTGGGTGGGGCGGGGCGGGCAGGGCGGGCGGCAGCGCTATCTGAGCAGCCGCCCAACCCAGCTTAGGATCCGGGCCTGCCACGGGGAGATATCCAACAAAGATGGCGTCTAATTTGCATACTGCAGCAAATCCCACTGTGCTGCCCCAACTGGGGCTGGCGGCAGCGTGATCCCCAGCCACTGGCCACCCCAGTGCGGGATCTGGGCCTGTGGTGGGTGGGGCGGGGCGGGCAGGGCGGGCGGCAGCGCTATCTGAGCAGCCGCCCAACCCAGCTTAGGATCCGGGCCTGCCACGGGGAGATATGGGGCAGACACCATGGGATTGGGCATGCCATCTGCTACCAGGGGAGCGGGTCTAAGCCAGCAGGTAGTTATCTCCCGAGGAGTCCCAGACTGTGAGAGGGCACAGGTTGGGCTGAGGGACACCTCCTCCACCCCCCTTCCCCCCCAGCCAGTGCACAAATTTTTGTTCACTGAGCTTCTAGTATTTTATAAATGGCTTGTTAAAAGGACAACTGCTATGTTTATGTCCCCATCATGTGTACATGACATTTTGAGTAATTTGAATTGTAAGAAATCTAGTAAGTGACAGCAAACAAGAGGACAGGTTTCATCTATTTTTGCTTAAGTTTTCTGTTGTAAAAAATACCAGTGGTTGCCAGGTGACACACATTTCAATTTGTTAGTTCAATAGAATCTGAAGTTGCTGTTTATGCTCTGTGATTAGTATGATTGGTGACTTTTAGACAAGTCTTCATTTTTCTGGTTATCTGTTTATTTCAACTAATAAATAAGGTTGTTTTAAGTACTACAAATGTCTTTTGTAGTACATAAAATGTTAGAAACTAAAATAGTACTGGCTATGTGAAAATGCACTATGCTTATGCTAGGTAAAGAAAATGCATGGTTGGAGTTTCAACATTGTATAATCTTGGTTACTTGATTGATCTATAGTATCAATGTCATGGATAAACACATATAAATGAATTGCAAATTACTTTTTCAAAGATAATAAATACATGGACGTGTAATTATCTATATACTTTTCTATTGCTTCAGCCATTTGACAACTTGAGCTTCTCTTGATGTTAAGAGAGTGTTATGGTTCTGTAACCCTGGGTAGTTAAGCAGTGCACAGCATAGTGGTTCTTAACTTTTTGACCAGAACCTGTGGTTAGAAATACATTTTACATAAAGTAGGCATACACATACAGTTAATTATACACGTGCATATGTATAATTCAGAGTTTCACTAACAGTGTTTTTACCTTACTCTGGGCAAAATTTTTCCTATTTTTTTGTTGTTTTGGCTGGTGGTGTTCATTCTGGTCTCTCTTCAAGAAATTGCTGGACCTTGTTTACCAAATCCATTTCAGAGTTTCTACTGAATAGTGCAGTTTGAAAAACTGCACTAATCGGCACTTACTACAAAGAAATGCGTTATTTTATAGAATTTCTCAAGTTATTTTATTAAAATTATTTTTCTACTCTTGATCATATTAGCTACTATTTAATTAACAAGAAATCTTCAGTGTTCTGTCATTAGTTTGTATATCTAAAGTATGTATAGATAGAGGATCTACACAAACTAGTAGAAACAATTTTAAATTGAATTTTTTAATGAGCTTACCACTCTAAATATATGCTATGTCTCTCTTTTTTATTAAATGTTTTTATTGATTTCAGAGAGTGGAAGGGAGAGAGAGAGAGAGATTGAAATATCAGTGATGAGAGAGAATCATTGATTGGCTCCCCGTGCATGCCCCCTACTGGGGATTGAGCCCACAATCTGGGCATGTGCCCTTGACTGGAATTGAACTCAGGACACTTCAGTTCACAAGCCGACACTCTATCCATTGAGCCAAACCGGACAGGGATGCTATGCTTCTTCATTGTTCAGCATCAAATAGCAATTTTAAGTTTTATTCCCTTGAGTTTTTCTTTATTTGCATCATCATTCCAGATGTTCTTGTTATCTTTTAATAGGTCATGCTTTTAATAATAGATACATGAAGTAACTTGGTTTCATTGAAAGGTTCTTTATATATATTTTTTATCAAAGAAAGAAGTAGGGGGTCTCTTGACTTTCTGTATCACTGAATAGGTTCACTACTTTTTTTCATTCCTTAGTGGTGGTTTGAAGAGTTGAATGAAAAACATAGTAGTCATATAGAAATGTAGTTTCCTCTATCTCTCCATATAGAGTGATATGAGGTGGGGTTTTTTGCTCATTTAACTATTATTTTAAAAATTTATGATAGTATATAGGAAACCATAGAATTTATATATATAGGGTGGGGCAAAAGTAGACAACTGTAAACCTACTTTTGCCCCAGCTTATATGTAGTGTCCAAAAAAACTCTTAATTTTCACTCCTTTTCAGGTTTAACTGATTTGAAATAATGTGAAGTCAGGCTAAGCTTTGAACAAAGAAAATTTATCCTAAAGTGCCACTAGACTTTTTTTTTCTTTTATGGAAATACATAAAAGATAAAGTTCATTTCATATGCATCCTCAATTTGTCGACTGCTGCCTGGTACAAAACAGGCAGCAGTCGACAAATTGAGGATGCATATGAAATGAAGTCGACAAATGAAATGATTTTTGATGTTTGTGATTCCGTTGCTTTGCATTATCAGCAGTGCTTGGACCAGAATGGTCATCAGTTTCAAAACAGGCATTTACAAGAAAATTATTCATTTCTGTAGATTCTTTTAAATCTTGGAAATGAACTATCTCTGATAATAAAAGCATAATATACAAATGTCGGAACGACTATCCGGATGACCTTCTGGACGAAGCCGAGGCAGCTGGGGCTGCGAGGGCTGAGGCAGCAAAGGCCTACTTTTGCACAAATATCATGCATCGGACCTCTAGTATGTTAGTAAACACTGATTTTTTAATCATCCCAAGTGTGTAAACATATGTAAAAATAATACACTGTTACAGAATTCAGGAGGGAGATAGAAAAAAAGACATTCCTACTCTGAACAGACAGGCTTGGAACTGACATTGAAAAGTAAATTTAGTATACAAATGGTATATTCAAAAAGAATTCCTTTATAACCTGACTGTAGATAGAGAAAAGATTGCATTATAAAGTGTTTTGTACAAATAAAAACTCAAAAGGAGGTCGTGGAAATGAAGGTAATTTTATATAAGTTGCATACATTTGAATCTATACTGAACAGATTTTTATTTGGATGGTGAGAATTCGTGAAGAATGTACTGTATATAAAATTGTCAGGCTATAGTTGAAGATTTTTATTGAAGCTCTTTGTATATATCTCTTTCAGATATGGAAACAAGTGAAAAAATCCAAGGAAGTGGGATACTTCAGTTGTTTTCAAGTCTGTTGATTCCACAGTCTTCCTGTACAGCCAAAGTAGCTAACATCATAGCTGAAGTAGCCAAAAATGGTGAGGTTTTCCTCAAGAACTTTTCTGCTGGGAACATCTTCAGTTTTACACCTTAATTGTCAGTATGTTTTATTAATTTATGTTTTAATTTTGTAGATTAGACTTTTCTAATTTTTTTATATTTCCTTTGCCTTTTTCATGTAATTGTTAAAAATGACTATATTTATAGTCATTTTATTTATACATTTCACATCTGCTCTTCCCTTCTTTTAGAGTTGAATTAAAGGAAAACACTGCTAGTCCTTGCTGAACCTATATCATTTATTACTTTGGTTATAGGATTCTTAAAATTGCCACTGAGTCATTTATCTTTATTGTCACAGAGAGCTTAGCTTATTCTTTTCAGTGTATATATTGTTTGTGTTGTACCCAGGTTTGAACTATTTATTTTTAGTCTGGTCTATCCTCCTGACAATTGCACTTGACAGCAACAGAGCAATTAGAATATATGTTCTGTTTTCTGCATTTACCTTCAAGGGAAACATTTATTTTTTAAATTTCCATTTAAAAATACTCTGGAAAAATAATAATGACAACAAAGCTTAGATCATGTAATAGATAATCCATCCTATATAGTTTACATCTAATAAGAGATTCTTTGCAAGAATTTATTGTAGCAGAAATATTTGCATATGATTTTTTAATTTGGTCAATTTGAGAAAACCCTGACTTAAAGTAGTTTTTAACATTAAGGGAGGGCCATACTAAATGTAATAACTTTAGTTTGTCTCTGTTTATGATTTGATACTATTTTTAGGCATTTTATTTTAATAAGTTGCATATGTTACACTTTAAAGAAAATTTTTTTTAAAATTCTGGCCTCATTGTGTAATCACTATGGCAGGTGGCATTGTACGATACTAATGTATGTTGTTTTGGCCCAGTAAAGCAATTTGTTCATAAATGTATTACCAAAAAGAAAATTACCATGAAATTCTTTTCATTTGTTTAGAGGTTCTCAAAATGTCTTTCAGGCTTCAGTAAGGTTTTTATATGTAAATCACGACTAGCTATTATAATTATATTATCACTATACTGTGCTTTGGATTTCAGCTAGTCATAAATGTTCGGGTCTTGAAATATTTCATGTACTTCAAGCAGATTTGAATTGCTGTGAATAGATAGTGATTACCTCAGGACAACAAAGAACTTCTGAAGCAGATTTAGTTTGAAAATAGATCCCCCTCAGAAATGGTTTGTTAATCTAGACCACCACTGTCTGACTCTTAGATGCAAAGCAGCTTTATTTTTAAGATCAAGTAGTTGATTTTTAATCTCATTAGAATCACAATATAGATTTCCAGAAACTAGGGGTGTAGATAGTAGGTACCACTTTGAGAGAGGATGACCATCATAGTCATTCTGTAATAGTATCTATGTTTTTGTATGTAGATCAATGATATATATTATTTTAAACATATTCCTGAAAAATTACTGGTATGTTTTCACATTTATCCATCTGAAGTAGGTAACTTCATGTTTTTAATACTAGCTAATGAGGACTGTACTGCTTACTTATTAAAAAGTAAATTGCCTGAAAAGCAAAAGGTTTTGGAAGAAGTTCACTTTCTCCAGGGACTGCAATGTTGCTTTTACATTGACTGAAAAAGCTGAGGAATATACTAATTTTGTCTTTATTCCTTTTTTAAATAGAGCTAATTGAAATATAACATTGTGTATGTTTAAGGTTTTTTGTTTTTGTTTTTTTTTAATTGGTTTCAGAGAGAGGCAGAGAGAGATGGAAAAATCAATGACGAGAGAGAGAATCATTGATTGAATGCCTCCTGTACACCCCACTGGGAATTGGGCCCACAACCCAGGCATGACCAGAGTTGAACTATGACCTCCTGGTTCACGTGTCAGTGCTCAACCACTGAGGCACTCTGGCTGGGTTAAAGTATTCTTTATATGCTTTGGAATAAAATATAAAAAATTCAGTTCAGAACAGCTTTATTTGATCCACAATTTTCCTGTAATTATTTACCCTTTATCATTTCTAGAACACTGAATATCGATTATAGCATCAAAAATTTGAAAGACAGGTTGATATAGACAATTAGAACATAAAAGCAAAGAAAAATAGTAATTCATTAATGCTGCCATTGCCTGAAGAATACTAACAAAACAAATAAGCAAAACAATAAGATATAACCACAGATTCCATTTATGAAAAGAATGCAAATCTTTCTGTTCCTAAATTTTTGTAGTCATTTAAATATGCCCCTGTTGGAATCTAGGCATTGAGAAAGATGAAAAGAATAATGAATATCTCTGCCTTTAATTTGATTAATTTGAGTTGATGACAAGTTATTTTAAGGTTTGAAATCTATAAAATTCTAAAGTAATTATTAATTTAAGAGGTAGACAAGTAGACTGATGTGTCATCTTCTATAGTCATTGAATTCATGGAAGTTTATAGCATAATTTTCAGTAGGTAATAGAATATCTCATACTACTGAGTTCAAAACAAAACATTGACAATATACTTAAAGGTTAGCTTTAGAAGTAAGAAAGTACTCTTAATCTTTGAGTTTAAATTATAGAGGATTTTCAGTAATCTAGAGGTAAGTAAGAAATATGATAGAAATGCAATCCTTTATTTAGGTAGAGAGGAATACCTCTTGACTTATAGCTATAGTTAGGTGGAAAAGAAGCTGCTTCAAAGGTAACAAACAGTTCACATAATAGCCCTATATGATATGTTCTAAGAATTTGAAAATGAAAGGAAAAGAGAGATATTGTTGATGAGGGTACTTGTGGTACCATTTAAGGAGTTGACCCTCTCAGAAAATGAGAGTGAAAGGATTCAGTAGGATAAATTATCGGTGGAAGAACTAGATCTTTATTGATTAGAATATTTAGTAAGTCGTGATATTCAAAAGGATAATTCTAATATTGGTTATTAGAGAACTTCCATCAATTAGTTATCTTCATATCCTTAAATTTTGTTAGTCCCTCATGAGACACTGTATAAAAGTTTGTCTAATCATGACTATGATGGTACCATTGGGAGTTGTTAAATTTAGAATGGTATATTATAAAGCCAAGGAAAGAAAAATGTTTGCAGTATAAGAATACGTTTTGTGCTTTAAACCAAATGTATGGGTACAAGAGTAGATATGAGTGATCCATGAAATGAATTTTAATAAAGAGTAGGAATGAAGGTAAGGAATAGATGGTTCTTTTGAGTCTTATCAATGGAAAAGGATTTATTTATAACTAGAGGCCTAGTGCATGAGATTTGTGCACTGGGGCGGGGGTTCCCTCAGCCCGGCCTGCTCCCTCTGGCAGCCTGGGAGCCCTTGGGGGATGTCTGACTGATGGCTTAGTGCTGCTGCGGAGGCGGGAGAGGCTCCCACCACCGTGCTCACTGGCTGCGAGTCTGGCTTCTGGCTGAGCAGCGCTCCCCCTGTAGGAGCACACTGACCACCAGGGGCAGCTCCTGCTGAGCATCTGTCCCCTGCTGGTCATTGTGCATCA